CTCCTCCTCGTCTCCTCCTTCTCCTCTCCTCATTGTCCTCCTCTCCTCGTTTCTCCACCTCCCCATCCTAGACCTCGAACCGCAGCGCAGGCACGGAGGCGGGATTGCTCGTAAAACCTTGGCTTGGAGCATCATCCCGTCATCATCATCATCATCATCATCATCATCATCATCATCATCATCATCATCATCATCATCATCATCATCATCATCATCATCATCAGTATCGTCATCATCAGCAGCAGCATTATCAGTATCATCATCATTATCGTCATCAGCAGCATCATCATCAGAATCATCATCAGCAGCAGCATCATGATCACCACCACCACCATCATCATCATCACCATCAGCATCATCGTCATCATCATCATCAGTATCATCATCATCATCATCATCATCATCATCATCATCATCATCATCATCATCATCATCATCATCATAATCAGCAGCAGCAGCATCATCAGCAGCCGCAGCAGCAGCAGCATCAGCCGCAGCAGCAGCACTAGTAACTGCATCACCAGCAGCACCGACAGCATCATCAGATGTATGTCAAGCATCATCACCATCAAAAGCAGCATAGTCCTCAGAAGCAGCGTCATCATGATCACCATCGTCCTCCTCCTCTGTCTGCATCATCATCAGCATCATCATCACCATCAGCATCATCATCATCCTCATCATCATCCCCATTATCCTCATCATCCTCATCCATATGATCATCATCATCAGCAGCAGCAGCATCATCGTCATCATCAGCAGCAGCATCATCCTCAACATCACCATCACCACCATCATCATCATCATCATCATCATCATCATCATCATCATCATCATCATCATCATCATCATCATCATCATCGTTATCGTGGTGGTCGCCATCATGATCAGCATCATCATCAGACTCGTCATCCTCGCCCACCATCATCATCATCACCATCAGTATCATCAGCAGCATCATCATCAATTTTCTCATCATCGTCGTCATCATCATCGACATCATCATCGTCATCTTCATCAATGTCTTCGTTCCTGCTCGAAGAGGAGGCGGCAACCGTGAGCGTGATGCCGACCGACCCCGACGGCAGCAAGAGGTGCGAGGCCAAGGAGAGGAAGCAGGAAAGACCAGGACTAACATCAGAGGAGAAGATTTGACATGATCGACGAGCAATCAAATTTGCAAACCCGCGATGACGCGTCCTCCTTTCACCACAGCAGCGTTGCACCGACTGCAAACAGCTCACCACTTCCGCACCCAGTCCTTGCCGTTGTCGAACCTGATGCTCTGGTTCGCCAGCACCTTTCCTGCGGGGAAGGGCGGCTCGATCATCACGTCGGTGCCCCTGATGACGCCGCGCTTCCTGTGCTTCTTGGGGCTCTTCGCCACCGTCAGCATGAAGTCAATCATGCAACCCTTCTGTTCCACCTGAAACAGGTTGCCGTGCGGGTCCGCGAACCATTTGCCGCCGAGCTGGGCGCAGCCGCTGCTGGCGACCTCGCTCAGGAGCTCCGCCTGCAGACCGCGCTCGTGAGCCCTCCTGCGAGCACCCTTGGGGCGGTCCACCTCTGGGTGAGCCTTCATGGAAGCCTCTGTGGACATGCGCGTCCCTATCATAGAGGTGATTTCGACCGGAAGACGTCCAAATTTCGACCACCCCTCTTCACCCATTCGTGCAGATTTCGTCCAAACGTCGATCAAATCCGACGACATCCGCACCAAACCCCCCAAACCGCAAGGAACTCTTAGGACCCTCCGAGGCTCCCATGAGGGACCGCACAACCACCTTGTTCGTCTGATACTCCTCCATGTCCTCCGCCGAGGACACGGAGCTGGCCGCCCCAGCGACGACGTCCATGTAAGCCGACATGTCCATGGTGCCGTCCACGCCGGCGTCCACCTCCGTCTCCACCCCCGAGCCGACGGCTCCGGCCCGCGGGAGGGCGAGGGCCGCCAGGGCGAGCGCCAGCACGCGCGCCATTGTCCAAGTGTGCTGGGGAGAAGCCAGAGCGATGGGGAACGTTCGGGACAGACTGGCTCAGGGGGTGAAACATCGAGCTGGGATCGGCGACATATCGCCGGTATGTATAGATATATATATATATATATAAAGATGTGGATATACACATAGATATATATATACACATATATATATATATATATATATACATTGGTGAGGCCTCACGGCTGGTGCCGCCGACCTTGAACGACGACGACGACGACGACGACAACGACGGCGGCGACGACCACGACGACGACGACGACGACCACGACGACGACGACGACGACGACGACGACGGCGGCGACGACGACGACGACGACGACGACGACGACGACGACGGCAACGACGACGACGACGACGATGGCGACGGCGACAGGGACGGCGACGGCGACGGAAACGCCGACACCGACGACGACGACGACGACGACGACCCGGGATTCCCCCGAAGGGTGGTATGCTGACCCAAGACCCCCCTGAGACCTCCCCGGGACCCCCCCCTG